TTAATTGATTCAGTTAGTGGTAAAGGGGAGGGATGACTACCAAAAACGATCAAAGCGAAACAGGCTGCATTTGACTCTTCGTACCTTCTACGATAACCCTTACAAAAACATCTGAACTTACTCACATTGCTGACTGAAACTGCCCAACCATATGTACCGAAGTTTTGCGAAATTTAGCACGTCGAACAATCCGTTTAATTCAGTTAGTATCGTCCTCTCTATATCCTAAAGGGTGTAGTCATGATCTCCCAATTTACGGTCTTGCAATTTCCAATTTGGTCCGAGTTCTTTATGCAATCATTGCAGCCTCGCCTGTACATTATCATAGCTATTTTAGTCAGTATGCAGTCTAGCATTCACGAGTCACATAGAAATGAAAAGTCGATTACGTAATTGTTGACATCTTCGTATATCCCGACGTGCGTTTTTTAGTAAAGCGCCGTTTTGCGTAATTTTTCGGTTGCTGTTCGGCGCGTATCTGCCGCAGTATCAGTTTTGTTGAAATCGTTGACTATAAAGAATGAAAGTTCAACTTCGTCACGTGCCATTTTTCGAATGAACACCACTGGCATAAATTAGTCGACTGTTTGAAAAGAAATTTCGTTTAGTAGATAGCGAGGCACGAAATTAATAGGAGTGATCTGAGTCACGCATCATTGTTCCGCATCATCACTAGGTCGGGTGCTGGCTCGTTCGACAAGTCGACAAGTTTCAAATGATAATATCCACCGTTGGCAAACACCTGTTGGCGTACGCCGCACAGAAAACACTGTGGTTTATCGTCAAGCAGTGTAAATACATATTTAAAGGGGTGAATCAATGCGAGAACAACTGTTTAGCCCGTCCTCTGGACACAAACTTTTGGAAGGCTTCTCACCTGGCAACTGGCACGTTACTGTCTTGTTGCTCTTTTGTGCTGAAAGATATGGCCATGTTCCGCACACTCAAGCAGTGAAATTCATTCATTCATTAAGCTCCATTTTAGCTACCCCTTTCATTACGTGAATCAGATTTCTAGGAATGATTCATAATTTGACTGCACTTTGAGTGCATGCATTTACACTAGCATCAACATCCGCTTTTTATGTCTGAGCTTCGTCTTTCAAGCTTTTTCTCGCAGAAATCAAGACAAAAGCAGTGTTTAGGCAAAAGCCGATTCCTTGGGAAAGTTTGTTGAGGAGCTAAAATCGAATTTCTAGGCAGCACACAGTGTGTGCCAGAAGACGATCCGCCGTCTCCGAGATGCAAAAATGGACAGTCTAATAGTCCAGGAGGACAAGTCCGGACACTCCTTTACCAAAAGTGAAGACATACTTTGAGGAACTCCTTAATCTATAGCAACTGTAGGGAGATTCAGCAGAAAGATTCGCCTGAAGAGTAGCCGGCAACGGATACTGGTTTTTCAATAGATGAAGTCATAGAAGCTTAAATCCTCCGTTAAATGACAAGGCTCCTGAAATCGATGAAATCCGCCCTGAAATTCTTAAAACTTTACAGAAACATAGTATGCTGTGACTAACACATATTTGTCGAATTGGACACCAATGGACTGAAGAACTAAATCTGCATTATTCATGTTCAAGAAGGGATGACATGGGAGGTTTTGCAATTATCGGGACATTACCTTATTCAGCCTTTAGAAGAAAGTCCATGTAAACGTGCTGGAAAGGAGATGCCGCAGAATAACTGACTCTAAGACATAAGAGCAGTGTGGCTTCAGGTAAAG